TCAAGGTTCTATGGGGAAGAAAGTGCACCAAAATTGGAAGAGATCATTATCTAAATGAGAAAACAGACTAGAAATATTTCTCCTGCACGTGTGTTTGATTTCTTAAATTTGCATGTTTGCGTAAGGCATGAAAATAGAATAATCTCCATTATTAGCAATATTAGTTTCAAAGCTACTTTTGGAAAAATTACACCAAGTTGCTTGAAATTCTACTAAAAAACAGAAGTATATCCTTTGAAATTTTAGCCACCAGTAGTAAATACAGATATTTAATGTAATGGATGTCATAATTTTAATATTTTATATCCAGTATAAATGCAGAAATGTTAAAAATGTGCTTCTGTCTCAGACTGTATTTTTGGCAAGCACACACATGCACAAAAAAGAAACAGACCAAGGAATAAAAACATCTTATTCTAAGGAGTCCCTGGCTGCATTCTGAAATTCTTGACTGGGCAAGAGAATTTGACCCCAAGTACAGCAGTATCAGAGGGAAAAGGAGGTGGCGATGCCCGTTCGCATTTCTGGGCCATTGCCCACACACGGGCCCCCTGCCAGGGGCGACTCCAGCCTTCTGCACTGGGGATGCTGGCCATCCAAGCCTTTATTTTATTTGAGAAAAACAAGCAGCTCTGCACAGATTGGCTCTTTGGAACTTCGGGTGTATGAAAAAAAGTAGCCAGTTGGTATGTGACCCAAGAAAGAGAGCTGGACGCTGGAAGAAGTTTCTACATCTTTCTTGGTAGAAAGAAAGAGGAGAGTGGTGCTGAATTACAAAGAAAAGAATAAATTAATATATACACATATACATATAGATGTCAAAATATCGGGGTGCAAATGTAGAAAACATCTAAAAAGAAGAAAGTTATTTTACATCTTAGCAAACTCTTAGCATATTTTTACACCGTAAGTTTCTAAAATATTACATAGAAATTTTTAGCCTTCTCCAGAAATCAGACTGGGTAATGACCTCAAGGTTTTATTATCAATGATACTTGAATGTAAAATTTTTAATTCTCTGAGGAGTGTTTCTGACAGGTAAAGTTCTATGCTTTTGTGGAACTTTCAAACTTGTGAAAAGTATCTTAGGAAAAGCATAACATTCTACCTGCACTTTTCAAGGCATTGTATGTAATGTTTTATTTTCTAAGAAAGAATCAAAGAGCATTTAAGTATGAACACTGCATAAAATCATGACTGACCACCACTAAGATGCTCCATAATTATAATAAATTTGTTTTTATTTAGTCCATCTATGTATCCATGGCCTTCTCTAATAAATGTGTACCTTTGAAAATGCTTAGTAACTGTACAGAGGAAAGCAACTGATCATCCTTAATTAAGTTTCAAATGTGCTTCTTCACACAGCTGCACACACATGTGTACTAACCTAATTGTTAGCTGCACCTGCTCCAAGGTAGCAATATTTCATAGAGCACATGGCAAGAATGACATTTTCAAGTGTTAATCTGTTGAATGTAAATCTGTACTTTCTTTGAGGAATTTCGAACTCTTAGGCTTTGTGCCACATAGGAGCCTAGTGTACAAAAATGTGGGCAATTTTGAATTTCCTTACTTGAAAACAAAGCTGTTTTGCCATCTAAAGTAAGTTATATTCTTCCATATTATAACTGTGATTTTTCACTGAGAAATATCTGAGTAATATTTTTCAACAATTATAGAAAGAACTTTTTCATTCAACCAAACATTTTTTAAAAGCTGAAAATCTTTCAAACTGCTGAAAGTTGTAAATAAGTTAAAATGTTCTTATCTTGTACCCACTATATCCACCACCTCAAATGCCATGATGATTTTTGTCACTATCTGAAATCTTCAGTTTCTTGCATTAAGAAGAGCAATGATAAAAAGAAAATTACCTTCTCGAGATTATGAGCTTAAACTCCTGATTCTGCACATGCAGTGAATCGGTTCCCAAAGATCACACCCCTTTTGGTAGGACTCACCCTAAAAGCTTAAGTTGAAGTGACCGTGTAGCTCAGATATCTTAATTTATGATATACAGAAACACTTCTTCATGAAATAGAAGTTTTGTGTTAAATTTCTATGGTATGAAATCCTAATTTCTTGTCTTATAAACTGATTTTCTGTTTTTTAAAAGAATGTATGTCTCTCCACACTTGTAATCTCCCAGACATTAAATTAAAAGCATGTTTAATATATTTAAAAGCAAATATATAGAACTTTGACAGGTAACTTTCTCTGGAGGATTAGTCTGTCTTTCACTTGCTGAAGGATCAAAACAGTCTGCTGTGATAATAAAGTGAAGAATGAGGCTCCCATTTCTACAATACCAAAAGCTACCTCATCTTCTGTTAAGATTTAGTTGCAGGTTTCTGTTGACATAAATATGCCTTTAAGTCTAATGAAGATATACTCTACAGAACTGGAGGTAAATATTTTCAGAAACTCAATAAAGTTACTTAAAAAAATTTAATGAAGTTTCTATCTTAGACAATCACTGTCTTCAATTAATTTTAATAAACTAAGATGTCTCTGTACAGCTACAAGAAGACTACACCCAAATGTTCCAAGAACCCACACTACACACTTCAGAAGAAAACAAGACTAGGTGAACTTTTGTGTCAATCATTGGTACATGAGTCATAACTTATTCTGGAAACCTGGCTACTTAATAAAGCCATCCTTAGTCATAATAGCTCAGAGATACAAAAAAGTTTTTAAAGATCTATCAAAAGCAAAGGAAAATATATACACCCACCTAATTTTTTTTATTCAGTGTTTTGGAACTATTTCAAAATAATTGTTTTTATTTAAAATAAAATACTATATTTCTAAGAAGCAACGATTACCAGAAATCTCCGATGTCCTTTAAATGTGATCGTTTCACTCTATCAAACCAATGTGGTATTCTTCAGCCTCTGTTTTTTGTTTTGTATCTGCATGAACATGGCTGCTAATTATATTATCCTGGTGGCACATAAGTCTGAATGGGAAAAATTTCATGATCCTTATAGAGAGTAAAATATTCCTTGGGATTCAAATGTATATACTTGCTTAGATTGAGCACTCCTGAATGGCAGTGAATTCGATTTTGTTAGAGAACTTAGCTTTCATTCAGAATTTCTGTTTCATTAATGACGTCGCACCTCTCCAACACACCATTGCATGCATGCATGCTCATGACCACACACACACACACACACACACACACACACACACACACACCCCACACCCACACACACAGATAAAGCTTTAGACTTATCCTGCTACTTTTAAATTTAGCTTCCCTATTTGTATGTTTATGTTTTTTTAAAGCAATTTAAGTTCTTGAGGAGTTTGTATTCACACAAAACATCATATAGATCTAATACCTACATTTGTCATAATAAAGTCCTACTATGTTAAGTGATGAAAGTTAAATCATGTTTTTAATATTGAAAATTCAAAAGAGCATAAGAATGATTTTACCCACCCACTCATTCTCAGTTGTATGCTCTTACACAATGATTAAGCAAATGTATTCTTTTCTGAATCATATGTGAATATAAAAATGTTTTGAAAATGTTTATGCAATTTGGCATACTTCACCTAATGAAGTTTAACAAAGTAAGCTATCTTATTCTCCTTATTAGTTTTAACAGTAAGAGTTAAAATCCTTTATTGCAAAATTTAAATTAATATGTGGTGGGAAAAAAGAAAGTGGTTTATACACCATCAGGAAAATACTACATTCTTAAAATTATATTTATATGTCTGTCTTTTTCTTAAGCCAAGTAATTCACTGTCAAAATACATACATTATCAGATAACTTTCCAGGGAAAGAAAATCATCCTGAGATAATATACAAGAAAGAGAACTACTTCAGCTGAACACTAAATAAAACAACAACAGCAACCACCACTCATGACACTGATAAACAAAGAACACTTAAGGAATCCTATCAGTTTCAGCAGCAAATCCTTGCTCTTTTGAACACTTTACTGATTAGGCTCTCAGAAATTTGCTCCAGTCTTGTAGTCCTTTCAGCCTTTATGAAACAGTTGTTGGAAACTTAAGTAGCTATTCAGATTAATATATACTTTCCAGGAAAAGCTATTTGATGATTGGGGTGAGCAAGTACCTTCTACCTCAAATTGACCACTTAACAGTGGTATATTTTTCAGCTCTAAAGTATTTTCAGCCCCTCTTTCTACTGCCCTTAGGGAATTTAAATTCAGAGATATGGCGTTGTTCCATTATTGGCTCCTTGCCTCTTTACAACTGAACAGCATTCCTCAAAAAGTACATGTAATTCTCTATCCTATAGGATCAGCCAACAGTATCTATTTTGAGAGTAATTACATACATAACGTAAGACAGAATATTTTTTCCTTAGAATTGTTTGTAATAATTACGATCTGAAGGGTACTGTTTCAGTCTATGGCAATGGTGTTGCTGAGTTCATCTAAGGATTTCTCTTCAATCTACATACTTTTAAAACTCAATGTGGCTTCCAGATGAGACCACTGTAAAGATATTATCTGCCCTACATAGTGGTTTGTTACAGCATTATACTTATAAGACAATATATTCCATGAAAAATAACACATGTCAATGAAGAAACAAAGATACTGCAAAAATTAGTATATGGGAGAAAAGTAAAAAAACTCCATATTTCTCTTTTAACACCTGTATAGTTAATTATATGTGACGATCACGTTGTTACATTAATAGGAATGAAAAGCATAAAGGAACAAGAGCTAAATCTTGCTTTGCTTAAACAAATTAAAGACAAGTTTAACCCGCACCTACTAAACTGTCTTCAGAGGGACAGAAATAGGTGGGGGCAGAAAGGCTCATCTCTCCTGTACCCCACTGTGCCTCTCCCTAAATTCATTTTAAATATAGGCAATATATCTGTCACCTTTTCTCTTTTACTTTTTCTTCCATTCTAATCAATGGCAGACCCTTTACTGAATCCCCCTGCCCACTATCTCAAAGACACATTAGAGAATAAGAGGACCCAAGTGTCACTTACCAGTTGCATGCCACAGATAAAGATAAGCGTGCACCTGCCATTGCAATAACCCATGGTTTCCGAGACCCCTGCCACAGCCAGACTGTCCCACGTCGGCCACCGTCGAGCCCCCACTTTATCCAATCAGATCGCCGGGAAGGACAGGAAAACCTGCCGAGGGCTCGGGGGCTCCGGGCTGCTGCTGCCAGCGTCCTGGGAAGTGACAGGCATTAGGACCTGCTGGCGCCGCGGCGGCGGCAGCTCCAGCCGCGCCCGCCACACATACCTTCACTTGCTCGCTGCACACGCCGCGCCGCGGGCAACGCCGCCCGTAGAGACGCGCCCGGGGCCCGCAGGGGCAGCAGCGGTAGCCTCGCAGCGCCGCCGCGCCCACGGGCATCTGGCCGCGAAGTTTCGCCCCCGCAGCTCCTCGCGCCGGTTTGCCCCACACCGCCCAACGTGCGCTAGCCACAAGCTTTCCGTCCGCCGGCTCTGGGGGCGGCTGCTCGCCTCCCTGCGCCGCTCGCCGCTCCTGTGCGCGAGGATCTGCGGGGCCAGGCGGGCGGGGGCGCGGCACGGGCCGGGAGGGGGCGTCCGGGATCCGCGGTCCCCGGCGGCGGCGGCGGCGGCGGCGGTTGCTGAACGCAGTGATGCGGGAGCCGCGCCGCGTCCTGCAGCCGCGCGTCTTGCAGCGGCGCTGCCCCTCCCCTCGCCCAGATGTGTTAATCCTCCTACAACAAATCCTTCAACCTGCTCCCCGCCGCCCCCTCCCAAGACGTCAACTTCTTCCAGCCCGGCCCGGCCTGCCGCCAAGGAGGCTGTTGGCTGCACTGTCTGGGCGAGAAGGAGAGGCGCAGAAGCGGCGGCTGCGTCGGTGGTAGCGCTGGGGTCCGAGGGGCGAAGAGTTCGGGCAGCATGTCCGTGGTTTGCTGGGCTTGTGAAGGTCCTGCGCCCACCATCGAGCCTGGAGCACTATATGCAAGCGAGCTGTGTTTGTGTGTGTGCGTGTGCGGGAGAGAAGGGTCGAAGAGGAGGGTTACCGAAGGGGAATGGGGTGATGAAATAGGGGTGCAGCCGAACATCCCGACCGTCCGGAAAAACCCGCACGGGGGAAGAATCAGAGCCCAAGAAGAGAAGGGGCGCCGTGGCGGCCGACGCACTGCAGCCGCCCAGCACCCGCCTCCCGAGGAACTGCAAGGGCCGGAGCGTAGAGACTTACGGAGCAGACACTGCTCTGGAAAAGGGAGCAGATTGCTGCGGTAGTTGGTAGGGAAAGGGAACCGGCGGGAGTGGGGACGCAATGAGTTGTCATTGCTGCTTCACACTGTTGTTTTTACTCAAGAAAGGAAAGGAACAGAAACAATTTTAACACTCAAGTACTTCGGCCTTATGGACCGTCCTGGCTGGGTGAGGATTTCTGGAGGTCGATGCTGCAAACCTGCTTGATGAGCGCTAGCCAGAAGCTGTGCAGCGGTTCCGGTAACCTGCAGAGACGCGCTTCGGAGCCCGCTGCTGCCACCTGCGGGCCGAAATCTGCAGAGCGTAGCAGTTTATCCCTGGCGGCGGCCTCTGGGGCCTGAGTGTTCAGGATCGGATAGTCTAGTTTCCTTCATAGCCCTGGGCAGCCAGCTCCATTCCTAACTGTCCCAGGAATTGAAGGCGTAAGATCTACTAGAGTCGAGCCATTGAAATGTGCGAGACTGATAAAAAAAGAGAATTGTTTAGCTAACTCCCACACCCCTTCAAGAGGTTAAAACAGATGAAACCACATCTAGCAAAGAGCTTTCCTTAGCAAATGAGATTTGACCCGACTGAGAAAATGTCACTTGTGTAAGATAACATAATAAATAAGGACCCCAAGTGATTGCTTCCTGAGTAAATATTATTGTGCATTGGAACAACCAAACATAAAGAAATTGAATAAGGCTTAAAGATCCCAATGTCCAGAAACCCGGTACTGAATTTTCAAAAATATTATGTCAAGCGCAGAGAGTCGAAAAGGAATTTGATTTGTTAAATTTATGGAATGCAGGTATTTTATTACTATAATGAGAATGCCTGCTTTCAATCATCCCATTTGTAAACAGGCTTTTCTCCGAAAAATCTCTTGAGTGTTTAATGCAAGTACAAAAGCCCCATACATGCTCTTGTCCACTGTGGGCCTGGCAGGTAGTAGTTGCTCCACAACCCTTGGTGAAACTGAAGGCAGAGGTATCTAGTGGCAGATGTTTCTGTTAGCTACTGTTCTGTCGTCACCCATGTTAGCTGTCCAGTAGCTGCTGGGGATGCAGGTAGTTTGTATTGCCAAATAAAAAGGAAGCTCTTGGTTGATGCTGAATGTTGAAGCTGCGGCTGTATTGTGAAAAGCAGTCTATTATCACCTTTGTAAAGTCATAATTGCAACAATGCATTCATGTGGATCCATCAATAATCCTAGTTTCCCTGCTCCCAGCAAGAGCCTGAATGGTCTCTAGGCTACGTAGGTTAAGGGGAAGCATAATGTTACCTATAGCTGGCTCAGTGCCCTGCCCCTAGTCCCTGGATTCTTGCCTTTCAGGATACGCCCATCTTTTTTCTCCAGTCACTTGGGATTGTCTATGAGCTTTTTCTAACCACAGGAGCTGCTTGATTCCAAACTCCAGTTATAGCCCTGAGGACAACTCTCACACCATAATAGATGGGAGTTGGTGGATAAATACCCCAGCTTCTCAACCCAGAGATAGGAACCCCTGAGACATACTCTACTATAACCCACTAACTTCCCCAATAGAGTTGAGCCCATCAAATCCACAGTTGCCTTTAGTGGTAACCTGCTTTTTCGTGCGCTCTTGACTGGTTTCCTTTCTTTCCTGCCTCACTCCCCTTCTCTGCCAGTGCTTTCTGGGATCACCTCCAAAATAAACCACTCAAATATTTGTGGCAGGGCTGCCTCTTGATAAGCCAACATAAATCTGCAGTGGCTTTAATTCCTGATCCGGCATCATTGGCATAGTAGTCTCAGAAGAGTGAATATCTGATTTATATAAAGGTGCCCTAGTTAGGAATTAAGTGCCATTCCTTAAGGTGGCTATGCCCTACTTGTTCCATGCCCTATTAAGCCTGGAGGCTTAGTGGAAAAGATAAAGAGAATATTAACTGTCCCATAGAAGTGTATGAAGGAGAGAGAGATCTCAAGTTGGAATGTTGATTGCACTTTCATTTAGAAGTCATACTCTTCAGTTATATAAGACTTCAGTTTACTAGATGGTTGACATAGCTATTGTTAAATTTTTTGTTTTGTTTCTGTGGGAAGACTTGTTACATAAAATACACCTCATTCCGGCTGACCTTAGCAACCTGCTTTAAAGTACTTTTCAAGTTTATTTCACATCTAACATATATATATGTTAGAACAACTCATGGAATGCAATAGGTACACAGCCACAAAGTCACTTGTTATCTGCTGAGCATTCATTTCAGCAAGAACAAAAACTCAAGCCTGGCTTTGTAACAACATTGATCATTTCACTCTGAGTTTTACTTCATTCGTTATACTTTAAAAACATTAAGGCAGCAATTATCTTTACAGCTATAAAACCAGAAAAGTCCAATCATTGAATATTGTATACAAACTTGGAATTTTTTATTTGGAAAATAATAGTATTTTCAAATACATTTTTAAAAGAAAATAATCAATCATAATCTTTCCACCCTGGAATAATCTTTTTTTGCACAAACCATTTTTTTTACAAAAATGGAATTATATCCTACAGAATAGGTTTTAGTCTGCTGGGGTTTTTTTTCACTTAACAACAAATCAGTAATATATGTCCAATTCAGAGCTCACGGTCTCTGCAGCCAATTTAACTTTATGTTCCAAGTTCTGCTTTTTTTGCAACCATGTAACCCTACACAAATAATTTAGTTCTCTGTGCCTTGGTTTCCTTATCTATAAAGGGATACTGGGAATAATAGTGTGCATATATTAGGGTTGTTGGGAGGATTAAGAAATATATGTAAATATATGCACAATATATGTAAAGCTTTTAGAACAGTGCCTAGCACATTGTTAACATTTTAAGATTCTTAATTATCATTATTCTGCATATAATATAGATTTAATGACTATATAACATTCCAGTGTAAGAATGTATCACAATTATTTAATTATATTCTTTTCTTAGACATACAGGTTTTGTGGTGAGTGGAATAAGGGCCCCTCAATTATGGTGCAGCCATAATCGAGGCACCCTATGTATATGGTATCTCACATGGCAAAAGGGACTTTGTATATGTGATTAAGAATCTTGAAATGTGGAGAGTAGCTTGGGTTATCCAGGTAGGCCCAATCGAATCACTTGAGCCCTAAAAAAGAGAACCTTTCCCAGCGGTGGGGTGTTGGGGAGAAGATAGCGGACGAAGTGGAAGGTCGGGAGATGCAAGGTGAGAAGAGATTCAACCTGTCATTTCTGGTTTTGTAAATGGAGGAAGGAGGCCCTGAGTCAAAGAATACAGAAGCTTGCAAGGGTAAGGAAACAGAGTCTCCTGTTCCTATAGCCTTCATAAATAGTGCATTCATGCCCACAGCTTGATTTTAACCCACCAAGACCCATGTCAGGCTTCTGAACCATAGAACTGTGATATAATGGATGTGTCATTTAAAGTCACTGAATTTCTGGCAATTTGTTATAGCAACAGCAAACCAGTATCGTTTGTTTCCAATGTTTCAATATTATAAGTGTTATAATATTTAAATTTGGAGGTCTGTTTTTGCCTATGTTTTGCTACTTTCCTATGATTAAACTTCTAGAAGTGCACTTGTAAGTCAAAGAATGAGCAAAATTACAATGCTTTTGATAAATAATAGCAATTTTTCTCCAAGGGGTTGTTTCAGTTTGTACTTAGAAGGAGCAATGGTTGCCATTTTCCGTATGTCAAGATCAGGAATGGGTATTATCAATTTTTTAAAAGACTTTTCCACCTTGCATTTTAAGTTGTATTTCTTTTATACAATAATTATTTATTAAATACCATGTAACTGTGCTAAGATGGACTGAGGCCTCTATATCATGTTGCCTCTCACCTTTCTGTGATGATTTCTTTTAAAAACTCAATTCTATTTCTAATAATATCATCCCATGACAGATATTATCCATAGATCCTCAGCAATGTAAGTCCATTTATCTGTTTGACCAAAATGCTGGCCTTCAGAGGAAACTTTGAAGATACAGAGATAAGCCAAGAAGACAAGACTATGCCATTATATTGACAAGAGCTGTAGTTATAATCAATGCTTAACCAATCATGATTTTAATTAAATACCTTTTGGGCTATA